TCAGAAGTCAGAAATTGCGATTATTTTTTTTGCACCTCAAATCCCAGGGGGGGCAGCTGCCCCCCCTGCCCCCCCGGAGGCTACGGCCCTGGATTGATCCCGCTAGTACAGTAGGGTTATGGGAATGGTCCCTAAAAAGTAGTAGAAGTGGTTAAGTTATATGCATTATAGGGAATTAACTCATGTTTGCTTGACATGCAACTTTTATTTAATACAAAAATTACCAAAATGTAATAAAAGAATGAATTTTCACATGAAGAGGTAAAAATGTATTACTGAATGGTTTTCAAGGGTAGTATTTTATTCAAACCAATAGTATGTGCAATTTAAAACAGTTTTAAATAATTTTTACCACAGCATGTTTTATTTTTCTGTTTTCCTACTAGCTTAATTGTTCTTATATCTATTCAATATATTGTACTTGGTATACTGATATATGACAACCTGCCTCTTAAATATCTCTTTCTATTATAAGTACTGTACTCCTTCTCATGACTAAATAAAATGACTTTGTATGATGTAAATACTCATACCTTGACTTTTTCAAGCAATATAACAAAAACTTATATTAAACCCTTTAAAAGATATAATACCTACAGAACACATAATATTAAATGAAACACTGACTTATTGTTTTATATTTTTTAAAGAAAACATCAGAATGTGTACAAAAATATAAAATTATGTATTATAAGTATTTAGAAACGGTAAAAATTAGATTCATTTATATAAACAGACTGGTATTATCACAGACTTAAAGACAACATGAAATAGTAATTATCAATATTCTGATATATTTTCAATGAGGTTCTACAATGGACAATAGTGTAATTCATGCCCATAATGCATGTACCAGTACATGGGCAACACATAAAAATGGAATGTCCTTCTCATACATGCACATATATACTCATCATGTGACTTTAGCTAGATTATGGCACTAACACACCAGCACATGAAACACTGATTAAGGGTCTGAAATACATAAAGACAACTGAGATGTTTAAGGACCTCAGTATTTTTTCAATTGTACATAAAGACACATTCATATTATGATTTATCTTTAACCTTTTGCTATATATATGTACCATCTTCCTGCTGTACATTTGTATAGACATGACTTTTCACCTGAACAGTAATAATCATTGTTAATTTTCTTTTTGATTTAATTTACATAAGCACCTAGTTAAAATAGGTTCAATTAGGCTCTATTCCCATAGATTTTAGATCGATCTATCCCCACGGGGAGTCTCACTAGATTACTTTCAGATAATCCGACTTAAATGTCCGTCGCGCCTACTACAAGCTGTAAGAGGGTAATTAACTTTCGTGTCCGCCCGGCTGACAGCTATTTAGCGTGAACCCCCTGGGAGTTAGGTCGATCTAAAGTAGGTCGATCTAATCTATGGAAATGGGGTGTTAGTCTCATGATCTCTAAAACAATCCCAATATGACCTTAAGTTTGACTCTGATTGCACAGTTAACTTGTTTTTCAAGTACTTTCAAACATGACAGTTCTATTTTCTGGAAACAGTTCTCTTTCAATTTTTCCATCCGATTCATCCTCAGCAAACCACTGGCTACATGGGAATTCATACTGATCACAGTAGGGAACTTTTGATGGTGTCTCCTCTTCTGTCTCATCTTCTGAATCTGAATCACTTTTTCTTCTTTCATTTTTACCTTTCCTATTACTCCTGTTCTTGGACAATTTCCTGGAAAATGGGTTGTCTTCATTAACATCGTCTTCACTGTCTGATGAATCTTTTGACTTCCTTTTATTCTTCTTTCCTTTATTATTCTTTGTTCGTCTCAACAACCTTTCATGATCAGAATCTTCAGATTCTGACGTCTCTCCTCTATGCTTTTTCTTGTGTTTTTTCTTTGGCTTCTCTTCTTCTTCTTCACTTTCTTCCTCCAGATCTTTTCTCCCCAAAAATCTGTCCAGAAATGAGCTTTGTTTAGAGGATTTACCAAACACACCATAATTAGAAAGTACAGACTTTTCTGATTTTTCTTTTGGTTTCTTTTTCTTTGCAGACTCAGAATCAGATGAATCTGATGACGAACTGTTGAGGATCTTGTTTTTCTTTTTTGACTTGTTAGATCTTTTTGAATCCTCTACATCGGACTCTTCTGAATCTGATTTGTCCTCCTTTTTCTTGGGGCTTGATTTCCTTGCTTTATGCTTTTCCATGACCTCCCTATCTTGTTTCTCACTTCTTTTCATTTTTGATAGCCTATCTGCAATCTCCTCCTTTGTCAACATTTTCTGAATGACAACCTGCAACAGAATAAACCAATACAATATTTTGTCTAGTCTTCCCTTTTTTTGTAGCAATACCAGAAGGTACAGAGCCCATATCACCTACCATACATCAGTGTTCAGTAAGAGATTTAATTTTCATGCATTTAAAAACTGACAAAATGTCTTGTTCATGCTCATTATAGAGAAGAGTAATTATTATTATTTATTTAATAATAATTATTATTATTTATTATTATTTATTTAGTAGTAAGTAGTTTAACTCAAAGGGGTATGGAGCTGACTGTCAGTCACAGTGTATTCAACATTACCTTGTCCAGGTACCAGCCAGCAGCAAATCCTTCGTTGTTATGGCCAATTAAAATCTTCTTGATAATTCCAACATTGGGAGCAGATAACTGAACATGAAACAGAAAATAATCATTCAACACATATGACCAGAGCAAAGCCATAATTTAGTAATGAAAAAATTGAAAATACGGCTTTTTTAGTACAGTTTTCTGCTTTTTATTGCACTTAGTCTAGTTTGACTGATCCAAACATGCACTAATTCCATGCTAGCTGAGGTGGTGAGAGTTACTTACTTTCGCAAGTACTAATCAAAATTAATCAAGTTACTTGACTGTGTCAAGAACAAGGTCTCAGTTTAGGTGATCCTTTTATATAATAGCCACCATATTAAGTTGACAATTTTTCAAAATGGAGCAAAAGAAAAAGTGTACAGCACAATGTGACATAGGCATAAGATATGAAGTCTCTAATCATAATACTGGTGTGTATCAGGTTATTATCACCACCATCCCAGCCTTTCTTTCTTTTCATGCTCTGGTTGTTTTAAACAATCAAGTTTGTTTTAATTCCGCATTGTATCTGATAAATAATTTAAGTTCATTTATTAAGTTACCTTAAAAATATCAGTTTGCCCACTCTCAAATGGATCCTTATTTGAAGCAGAACTGTCTAGGATAAGTTTCTCTGTGTTTAACCCCCTTCCAAATATTTGAACAAATACTTGGGCATTAGTTCCTGCACCCCTCTTTTTACCAGTTGTTACATGTACTGTATAGTCCACTTTAACTCTCTTCTTTGTAGCACCCTTTCCTAAAATTTCAATGTTCATAATTTGCATTCGGTCATAAATTATATAAGAATTAATTTTCATCTACTGTCATGTACACATTGTTTCATATTGACTACATGTAAGAGACAGCATAATTGTTCATGGAATTATACCATTAAACTTCTTTAAAATTTCATTTTTTACAGATTCTAGGAATTCTTTTTATATGCTCTCTTACCTTTCTGGATTTGAGTTCCTATTGGTGCATCTCCTTTGCCACTTGGCATAAGCTCCACCCAAATGTTATGGCCATCAAGCACTGACAACCACTTGCTGCAGGGGAATACATAGGAGATTCCCTCTACCACATCTTTCACTTCCACCTGAAACAATGTATGTTTACATGTATTTTTTAACCACTTTTTTACATGTATTGATATTAATGCGGGTGCCAGTAACAGCAGTTTTTGTAAACATTTTCCTTTAATCATTTGGATGCAGAATTTGTATTCAACATTTTGGTATGGCTTTCGTGTTCTTAATTAATGTACCCAACATTGACTTTAAAAGGAGAGCCCCCCTCCCCCTCCTAAGGTCTGCCAATGCTACAAGTGCTTACCTGTTTCAGAAACCAGTGTGGGTGATCACCACTGCCGTCATGTTCAATCCTAAAATAGAAGGTAGAATTTTCATTAAAATTACTGTACATAATAAACCAAGGTTTACACTGTTTGCATAAGCATTTAATTGTGAAATGCGGTGAATTGTGTGGTAAAATATCCTCATAATTTTATTTGGATCATATGCAATTAAAAAGTACTCAATATTTCAATTTTTTATCATTTTTAAAAAGCCATACGTAAATGGCTACTTTTAACAATGATTAATTGAGTTTGATACCTTGAACAAATTTATTCACTTAATGACATCAATTACAAACCTGATTTTATTTAATTCCCCCACGTCTTTAGTCTTGATATTGAAAGTGTCAGCACTGCCTTTTCTAAAGCATTTTTTGTCTGGAGGTGATAAGTGGACGGCTGGACTTTCTTTGCCTTTTCCACAGAGAGTTATGTACACGTTACAGTCTGTGCCGGCTTCTCTTCCCTTTCCTGTCACAGTGGTGATTACATATGCTGTACAAAAAAACATGTGACATTATGAGTCTTTTATATGGAAATTCACTATGTACAAATCTTTCCTGAAAAGAGACAGAAGTATACACCTTCCAGTGAGAGAGCTACAACAATTTTCTCTAATTCACTCTTTGATAATGCTACATAAGGGAAATACAGCATCATTTCTATGCCTGCTTTAAATGCATATTTTAACATTTTCATGAATAGCAAATAGAATCAAATGGTAAAATATAAAATGGACCAAAAGTGTTTGCCACACCTTTCTTTGCTGCAACTGCCTTCTCCAGTTCCTCTGCTCTGAGCACTCTTTTTACAGCATAGTCCTCTTCATACAAAGACAGCCATCTTTTACATTCAAATTTCCATGCTTGTTTAGTGGTCATGTTAATCACTTTAATCCACTCCAAAAACCAGCTATGACTACGAGACAAACCATCATGCTGAAAATGAAAGATTATATTTTCAGCACACATTATGTAATGAAATTATATGAAAGGTAAAAACAGTCATTTTGATCAAAACAATTTTTAAAAAACTCTCCTCATCCCTAAACTATCAGATAAACTATAGAGAACTTTTCTTATCTTACTCTTTTAGGTTTTATCTTTTGATATAATAAGATGTTTATTTACTTTTTGTCTAAAATTCAGAAAATTATGTTCAGTAGGTTTCACACAATTTCTAAAAATGTATGAACAATAAATAGATACCCAGTAGTAGCAAGATTTGATATACACCGTAAATGACTCCAAAAAAGAGCAATCAAGACTAATAAAATACAAATAAAAGAGTAAAAAATCAAAGTTTTCAACAAAGCATTTGAAGGATTTAAACATATGTACCAAGTCATATGTATATTAATTCTTAAAATGTATATTTTTGCTCCTTCTTGAATGACTCCTTTGTGTGAAATGAGCCATCCTCGAGGTCTGATGTGCAGTAATCAATAGTATTAAAAATAAAGGATCAGAATGTTACAGTGTGTATCATCCACAGAAATGTGATAGCCCATCTTATGATACTGCAGAATTGCTCTAAGGGATGATGTGTAATTTTTGAGAACCAATCTTTTAGGGGTTGTGAGAGGGACAGAATGCGTCTTCCTACTTCCCTATCACTCTTAATCTATTCCGTTTTGCCTACCTCAATCTGCAATTGCTGTAAGTTTCCCAGCTCGGGTGCTTTAACATAGAAGCTTTCCAATGACCCAGGCCCAAACTGGAAGGAAGTCAGGGAACCTGTATTTTTGTGGAGTTTCTTCTTATTGGTTATGCCTTTAGAGCCCCTGATAATGATTTCCACCTATAATTATAATAAAAATTTACTTAAACCTCAAATTCTGTATGGATTGCCACCTGTAAAAACAAGTGTCTGAAACTGTAAGTAAATATATTTAAACTGGAAAAAAATTGCTGCAGGAGGGACCTATTATACAAAAGAGCTATGGCCCAGACACTGTCCTGAAATTTAAGACCATTTTGGTCCATTAAGACACAAGATAAATTGGTAGTCATTTTATTTAAGGTATCCCATACAGGTTTTTGGGTCTAAACGATTAAAATGCAGAAATAATTTTAATAACAATCAGGAATCTTTACATTTGCATCTGTTCCAGTATCCTTTCTCTGCATTCTTTTGGTTTTTTTATCCTTAACTTTGATAATACCAGTCTTGACTTCTATTTTGTATAGAACTTCAGGAGGTCCTTCCTCATAGTCTGGTTTCTTCTTATGTGGTAAACTGGGCTTGGGGGGAATGTACTCAATTCTTGGTTTTGACTTTGGTTTTGGTTTCATTCGCTAAAAATATAAGTTTTTCTAAAAATGCCAACAATCATAATCAAACATAAAAGAAATAAATTTATATACCATACATAAAATGAAATTCAATCAAATATATCTTTATGTTATTCTTTAAAAATTCACTTGGAGCTGGTGAATAATATTTAAAAAATATACAGTAAATAAAATAAAAAAGTGTTGGACTAATCTTGTTCAAAGTAAGTTGGGCAACTGACCTTGTACTGTAACATATGTTTCTTGTGTTCATCAACTGTACTGCATAGGTAACAATAAGTTTTCAACGGTCCTGTCAAAAAAGATATTTTAATCTTCATTACTGATGAGGAATACTTTTGCTAAAAAAACAGCAAAATAAATCAAGAGTCATACTCTACTTAAATTTCAAAGGTATAAGAAGAAAGAAGTTTTGCCTTATTGAAAATCTGACATGTGGTTATAACGATTTACCTGACAATGACATATCTAACTCAGTGTCACTTTCTTCGCTGTCATCGGTTTTGCAAGGTGATGACCTGGACCTTGTTGACCTTGAACTTGGAGATAATGATCTTGAACTTGATTTGGAGTAATAGTTGTTTGTATCCTCAAGGTTTGGGTTACTTCCAAACATGACACTAGTATTTTGCCATTTTGGTTTTACCAACGTGTCTGGTTGGGATCTGGTCATTGGGGCTAAAAGAAGGTGTAGTGAAAAATTACAGTACTAGTACCTACACATTGTGTATATTCGAACATAATATATATTATATAATAGATATCTTCCTTGCAAATTTTGAACAGATACCACTAATTAATTTGTCATTCCCATTCTGTACCACATTTTCTTATAAAGTCATGCAATATTCTAACAATTTTTGCCTCGGGACTTTCTTCCTCACTTACCTGACTTTGGGCGATGATCTGGATGCCAGTGTTTGATACCATACTGATGACATGGTGCCCCATCCAGTGCAATACCTTCCGCTAGTGATGATAACATAAAGTCTGTGTCACGTCTTAGACTATCCAGATTAAACCCATTCATGTTGTGTTCATGCATTGGTATTGCTTTATCTGCCCAGGAGAAAGCCCTCCTGTCATAGTTTGAATATGGTGTAAAAGGCATTGGTCTTCTGTAGTCAGTGTATGGGTTTTCCATGTAATTATGGTAACGCTTGTACATAGTGGCTGTAGAACTCATGCTACTGACTGCCAATTGTTGTCCTGGTACCACCTTTTAAGTACTGAAATTACCAAAATACAACGAGCAATTATAATACTAGCACATGACNGACTTTCTTCCTCACTTACCTGACTTAGGCCTCTGATCTGGATGCCAGTGTTTGATACCATACTGATGACATGGTGCCCCATCCAGTGCAATACCTTCCGCTAGTGATGATAACATAAAGTCTGTGTCACGTCTTAGACTATCCAGATTAAACCCATTCATGTTGTGTTCATGCATTGGTATTGCTTTATCTGCCCAGGAGAAAGCCCTCCTGTCATAGTTTGAATATGGCGTAAAAGGCATTGGTCTTCTGTAGTCAGTGTATGGGTTTTCCATGTAATTGTGGTAACGCTTGTACATAGTGGCTGTAGAACTCATGCTACTGACTGCCAATTGTTGTCCTGGTACCACCTTTTAAGTACTGAAATTACCAGAATACAACGAGAAATTATAATACTAGCACATGACAAAAAAAAAAAAAAAAAAATGAATATGTATGTAGCAAAGTAAATAAGCAATTGTAGATTTGCTAGCTTAAAAGCATTTCATCAAGGAGAAGTCTTTTCTGTCTAAATCTTAAGCCTAAAAAATACTAGTTAAGTGATAACGTTGCACTAGCTGTATGTTAGCTAGAATAGAGATCTCTGTATTGGACTTAATTATATTAGTCTAGTTAACTCAATTGTCTTATTAGAGTGCAAATATACTATGTGAGAATATTACTTTTGGCTTTACGTATTAGTACTGTAATAGTAGTGCATGAACAGTGTACAATGTACAGTGTACATGCATGGTACTACATGTGTATAAGTCTTAGAAATTCAACAGTGGACAAAATCAGACGAAAGTGAAAGCATGAAATAAATCTCAGGTAGAGTGTACTAAAACTGAACCTCTTATAAAACTTATTTCAAATTTAACTGAAAATTAACGAGAAATAATCAGCGTTTTATAGCAACTGGAATACACGCACCTGCTTAATCCCGGCAGCCATCTTGTTTATATTTGAGTTGTTGTTAGGTGCCAGATTACGGCTGTCGTAAAACCAGTAACTGGCGGATCACACGGAAAAAATACGATGCCATAGAACGAAGTAAACTTAATTTTTCACTGACACCGGTTACAAAACATACATCATAAGCCCCATGAGCCTTTGGGTCTATTTCAATCTAAAAGACACAGTTTGAAATACTTTTAAAACAATAATATGTAAAGAAAAATTTAAAAAAAAAAATGAACTCTTTAAATAAATATTAGGTCTTATAGCCTACATGTATTTGCACATTGCACATTAATTAATGGTCTTCTCGAGTATCCTTAATTTTTTTTTTTCAAAATTAGCAACTACCTAGCAGTTTGCTCCATAATTTTGATACATAAAACTTTAACTAGGGAAGGGTAAACGATGCCATTTTGTTTTATTTTATTTTGAAATTTTGAGTTAGTAACTCGAAATTTTAGAATAGAATAAAACGAAGTGACTGCAACACGCTTCTGAATAAAATTATTTTATCCTAAGTTTTGTATTTTGAACGGGATATCTCCCTAATTTTATTTGCATGTAGGGCCTATAATAGTAGACTGTAGATTCAGAATCTATAGGTTTTATCGATTTGCATTTTTACCGTATATTTCTTATTTTGATAAAATACGTGCGTCTAATTGAAGCGCGTTTTTTTTCATATTTCAAAAATTACGGCCATCGAGTCCAGCCTCTATTGGAGAGATGTGTCCGTCCAAAGCTGACAAATATCCCAGGCGAAAAGCTCTTGCTTAAAAATTAACTCTTTAAAAATCAAAAGAACCGATAGGCCACGCTCTCTCGGTCTGTATTCGGACAAAATAAAGTGAGATTGTTCACTTCTGCTCAACACGGGGTTACTCAACACGGTTACTGTCCTCGCTCAGATCGCCTTCGCCTGCCTAGGGGAGACCGGGGCTAGTTGGACCCCGGGGTAAGTTGGCCCCCATCAGTTTATGGCAAAGTAACTATGAGGTCAAAAGAATTGATCGCATCATTTTGTAAAGTGACCGTATCCAATAGTGCTAAGAAAGCGTCGGCAGTGAGCCCAAATGAAATAATTTAGCATCTTAAGGTAACTTTATTAAAGAGACTTGATGGGGGGCCAACTTACCCCGGGGTCCAACTAGCCCCGGTCTCCCCTAACTTACGACAGCATGTAGGGGAGACCGGGGCTAGTTGGACCCCGGGGTAAGTTGGCCCCCCGTCAATTTATGAAAAAGTAACTACGAGGCAAAAAAATTGGCCACATTCTCTTGCAAAGTGACCGTAGCTTACAATGCAAAGGAAGTGTCGGACGTTAAAAAGATTTACTTAAGCGGTGAGTCGAAATAAACGATTATTGCATCTAAAAGTAATTTTGTTTAAGAGATTTAAAAATCTATTTTCATAGGCTTTTGATCGAATATAAGATATGTATAGGGCATCAAACTGAAGCTCATTGTTTCAAGTTTCACAGAGATGTATCATCGTTGCTCATTCTAGCACCATAAATGGCTACCATCCTTTAAAATAAATAATATGCACCCGGGGCTAGTTGGCCCTCTTGACTCGGGGCAAGTTGAACCTTTGTATTACCCACAATCCTTTGCGCGCAACGCTGTTTGAAATAAACAAGTTGGTGAAACTGACAAAACTTGCCGTTGTCTATTACCGCCTGATTGATTTTATTTAATTTGCTCTCTGCTGTTTTAAAATCTATATTAGAAATGTTCTGTTGATTTTAAGTATTAAAGAGCAAATCCATTGGACTTTCCTTAGAAAAACATTTATTTTGCCTTAATTCATTGTAAGGGGATTCCCTTTGTATTTATAGTGTTATATGTGGCCCCAAGGAGATTTTCCACCCCTCCCTAGCTAGAGACCATTGTTGAAACAAACTCAATGGTTTAAAACTGAATTTTTTACTTTCTTTTAAAACGAAAATTTATTATTCGTTTTCATTCATTAAAATCCTTCTTTATACCATTATTAATCATCAAAGATTCTCAAAAATCAATTTAATAAATTAAAAAATTATAAAAATGTATTTCAAGGCGTTTACATGGGATATACTTAATTTTCGTATAGGGGGGCCAACTTGCCCCGACCCTGGGGCCAACTGCGTTTTTTGTCAAATTGTGAGCGACCTGGCATTATATTTGAAAAATAATGACGTTGCATAAGTAGCTTAGTTCATGGGGCTTACTTTGAAACCGGTTTTGTTACTATAACCCATTTCTAGTTGGCTCTACAAGGCCAAAAGTGTCTAGCTGGGCCAACTAGCCCCGGTCTCCCCTATCGCCCCTGTAGGCCTATTGCCCCCGCCTGACAGTCCGCTTTCCTGAGTAAGCAAAGAAACGAAAAAAGTAGTAATATTTCAATTTCACTTGCTCTCCCACTTAGACCAATAAAGTAAATCAGTGGTAGGCCTAAATGTCAAGTTTCTAGCTTCGTTTTATTACGGCATTTTGTTAAGTGTTATGTTTTGCCCCCTGAATCCTCACTAGGTGATACACTTGATTCATTGATCACAAATGAATGGCATATGATAGTTGATTTGAAAAAAAAATGGACAAAATGTTTTAATCCTTGAAGATAACATTATTCGCCCGTTCTCGTATAAAATAGTCGAGAAATGCAAATCTCTAAGACTATATATTAGCCTCAGGGGCGGATCCAGGATTATTTGGAGGGGGTCCTTTTTTTAAGAATGACAGGCCTCGGATGCGAAGCAGACCCTTGCCCTTTTGGTGTGGGGTTCGGTGTTATGGAGGGCAAACGGTACCATTTGGAGCAGCTTAGAACTAAAAACAAAATTCTAACATCAAGAGGGGAATATTGGTGTGATTTTTTTCAGAAAGTGTGTGTGTGTGTGTGTGTGTGTGTGTGGGGGGGGGGTTATGAATCAACAAAGCCAAAGACAAATATCAAATTTAGATCCTTTAATTTCTCAATAAAGAGAGAACTTCAACTATGGCAACCTTTACTGAGATTTGCATTACCAAATGAATATGAGAGGCATATTGTCCAAGTATAAAAGTATAGTTATTATTTTTCCATTCATAGGACTAAAACACATTGCATTAAGTCAATTATTTTGTTTGATAACTGAGCGCCCCACTAAACAGTTTTCAATTCGCATTGAAAGACAATGTTCTTTTTATATATTTGAACAGCATATATATATGTTAGTATCAGGATACACTTTCGTTGTTGAAGTGAGTGAACCGTCACGACTGCTGTTATCTAAAAAGCTCCACCTGCCCGGGTTTTCTGTCGGGGTTTTCCTTCCCTTAGACGATTGCTGTTCGCTAACGAGCTCCATCTGCCCGGGTTTTCTGTCGGGGTTTTCCTTCCCTTAGACGATTGCTGTTTGCTAACGAGCTCCATCTGCCCGGGTTTTCTGTCTGGGATTTCCTTCCCTTAGACGATTGCTGTTCGCTACGAAATATTGCCAAAATCATTTATGTAGGGACTAGGGTAAGTGCCAATACGGTCAGACAACAGAATGTTGTCTTCTTTCAGGTCATTATCTATAACCCCAAGACTGTGCAGTTGTGCCATTTTGCTGGCCACTTGAAACATCACCCATGCCCATTCACACAAGGACTCTGGCTCTGACTAGGACTAGGGTAAGTGCCAATACGGCCAGACAACAGAATGTTGTCTTCTTTCAGGTCATTATCTATAACCCCAAGACTGTGCAGTTGTGCCATTTTGCTGGCCACTTGAAACATCACCCATGCCCATTCACACAAGGACTCTGGCTCTGCCACGCGCGGTACCTTCCTGAGCTCCTGAGCCAAGGTGATGGAAACCCCTTGGCGAACATCCCCGACGAAGTCGGTGACCAAGGCAATGTCATGAGTGGAGACTGGACGCTGGTCTTCCTTTATCGGCAGCAAGCCAACAAACCTTGACGAAAAGAATAATAAGGATTTTGTAATAGTGATTGAATCACTGAATGGACGTAAAAATGTAAAAATTCATCATAGTAAAGGAAAAAATCAAACAAATGTTCGAATTGTTGAAAAATTAAAAAAGCATCAGAGGGAGGAGAGGTAGAAAGACATAAAATAAACCTGGGTGCAATCTTTATCCTCGATACTGCCTCATTCATGCTATAGAGGACTAGTCCCTCGTAAAACAAATCCTCATACACCTGGCTCTCCAGTTTGTTGAGGAATTTAATGGCCACTAAGTCGCCCGAGGAGAGCTCAGAGCCCAAGAAAACGCTGCCAAAGGCCCCTGATCCTAGCTGGTGATGAATTTTAAAGTTCTCTTCGTCGAGCAGACCGGGGCATGGGGCTTCTTCATAGAATAGATCAACATCCTTCTTGTCTGCAATTTAAGAATGACTGTATTGATAATTGGATACTGTTACAATTATAATAATAGTTGTAGTGTTTATTGTAAGAGATAGTGAAAAAGCTGCACATTTTTGCTAGAGACAATTCTGATTCGCAATAGAAAGGCAACTTTAGAAAAGGATATTTCATAGCAACAACCTTACTAAACTACCGACTAAAAAGTTAATGATGCTTTAAAAATTTCAAAGATAGAGGAATAACAATTCTCAGAAAATTTAAATAATTTATACAAGCCCTTTTATATGGAGGTGAGAGCTGGTAAAGACGGAAAAGAATGAAGACGCGGATTTCAATTTACGAAGCTACTTTTAAACGAGAAAATCAATTATCAAATATTAGAATAAACTAAATTAGTAAAAGATCAAAAAGGGAAAGGGAGAAAAAACAACCTTATAGCATCATACCTATCCATTCATAGAAATCCTCAACTATTCTGGCCATTTTCTCTGGTGACTAGATAATGAAATCAAAACAGCAATAGATAAATGAAATTAAAAATTAAGATAAAAATGTATACATAGAGAAATGAGTAAATAACATCAGAAAAACACAATCATATATATAAATATTTAGAGTAAACAACAAGGTGAGAATATGTCAAAAGAATATAACATATAATACGGTAGATTTTTAGGGC